GACCCAAGTGAATAGAAATGACAAAAGCAGTCATCTAAGTAAATATGGGCCAGACTCAGGCAGCCAGTTGGGTAAATATGAGGTGAACCCAGGCAGCCAGTTGGGTAAATATGGGATAAGGCCAGGCAGCCAGTTAGATAAATATGGGGTGTACCCAGGCAGCCAGTTAGATAAACATGGGGTGGATCCAGACAGCCAGTTGGGTAAATATGGGGTGGACCTAAGCAGCAAGTTGGGTAAATATGGGATGGATCCAGGCAGCCAGTTAGATAAATATGGGGTGGATCCAGACAGCAAGTTGGGTAAATATGGGGTGGACCCAGGCAGCCAGTTAGATAAACATGGGGTGGATCCAGATAGCCAGTTGGGTAAATATGGGGTGGACCTAAGCAGCAAGTTGGGTAAATATGGGGTGGACCCAGGCAGCCAGTTAGGTAAACATGGGGTGAATCCAGACAGCCAGTTGGGTAAATATGGGGTGGACCTAAGCAGCCAGTTGGGTAAATATGGGGTGGACCCAGGCAGCCAGTTAGATAAATATGGGGTGGATCCAGACAGCAAGTTGGGTAAATATGGGGTGGACCCAGGCAGCCAGTTAGATAAACATGGGGTGGATCCAGACAGCCAGTTGAGTAAATATGGGGTGGACCTAAGCAGCAAGTTGGGTAAATATGGGGGTGGACCCAGGCAGCCAGTTAGGTAAACATGGGGTGGATCCAGACAGCCAGTTGGGTAAATATGGGGTGGACCTAAGCAGCCAGTTGGGTAAATATGGGGTGGACCCAGGCAGCCAACTGAGTAAAATCTAGCTATCATACTAAGAAACTTTTCATCAGTTTACACTGGCCAGAATAATATGGAACCAGACTTAAATTAGCTTTATAATTTGTTCACAGGGAGTTTCTTGCGACTGGTGCACGTTGTGAAATTAACGTGGACGGTAAGACGGTAGAAGTGACGCAGAAAGCATTACAGAAACCATGTAGATTCACATTTGAGGCAGCACAGACACATATATTTATGTTAATGAAGAAAGACAGTTATCCACGTTTTCTGAGATCAGATGCATACAAGAATTTATTGGCTCATTCCTTACAGCCTTCATCTAAGAAAAAGTAGGTTTTATCATGTAGTCATGGCCATTACTGAATCAGTAGTGGTCGCCATTCGCCACTGTTTGTCAATGACCAGCGGTAGTTAATTAGTCCACGAAAACAGGGACTTATGGATTGACTTCCTGGTATGCATGCAAGTGTTCATCCAGATTTGTATCTCTGTCTTAGTCGATCACATTCAATCTTCACACACACAAATCATTTATCTAGGGATACATATGTACATATATGTGTTTCATGATCTGATTCAAGATGGTCGAATGGCGGCCATTTTAAAAAATTCACATCAAAATCGAGCATTCCACAACCAGATTACAGTCATGTATGTATGGGTTTTGTTCAAACTTGGTACATACATTACACATTATCAAACCTTGATGCACATCATTTTGTTTTTCAGCTCAAATATTAAATGCCAATGGCCATTTTGTTTAAATGAATGTGGTTCAGGAGCTGTATCTCTGATACACCTTGACCAATTGTGTTCAAACTTTATATATACATTATCCCACACATATGCACAATAATTTGTTTGATGACTGATTAAAAATAATGAAATAGTGGCTATTTTGTGTTAAAATGAATCAGTCAAGCATTTATGCCATTCGTTTAGATATTCTGTGTCATGTGGTGACTTGTACACTTGACAGAAAGCAAACAGCAGTAACTATTCATCAACTTCTTGACCATCACCAAGAAGAAGGAAACTGTAACAAAAGAGATGAAAAGAATTGTTTGAAATTAATAATTAAATTTAGTATAAATTTACCTCTGTGCATGGTTTTATTAATGAACTGATGAGGTATATAGAGATTTTAATATGTGCATGTCATAATTCCTGGCATAATTGTCATCATTGTTGTCTTCATTAACACTTTATTATGGCCAGGATATCTAGTGTCATTTTTGTTCCATTAGTTTTCAAACTCTGGAATATTATCAACCAATGTCTAATCTTGATGCAGTTCAAGTTTGGTATGACTGGACAAAGTGGGGAATTACATATCTTGAATTTACACTCAGAAGGTCAGAGGTTGTCCAGTTAGGTATAGGTTTTTTTATTATAATTTATTTTATTTTTCATGTTAATCTATCTTAGTGATATTTTTATTTTGTTTTACTTTAGGTTTTTCACATTTGGTAACCGATTGAAGACTGCAAAGGTTACACCGAATGCATCACCACAGCCATTGAGAAGACGTGGTAGTGCTAACGATATGACACATAAAGCACACAATGCAAGACATGGTTTATCTCTGAGTACTGGAAACCTACAAGACTTGGATAAGAGTGATGAGAAAATAAATGCTGATTTTCTGTATAGTGATGTGTGAGTTAATCTGCAGATACTTTCATTATTGACAGTTTCCATGGTGACAATTGCTCAAATTACTAATGTTTTTTTTCACAAAAGGCCTTGTGACTTTATAAGACTCTAGCTGACCATAAATGTATGTGTGACACTGAAACACCACAGCTATTTGTGTACTATGAGGTTATTATCAGAATACTGCAATGTATACATGATTGGCATATCAATCGAAGTGTAGTGGAGGTCAATGCGTTACCGTACTGCCTGAGTGCATACTTTGCAGTATTCTCATGATGACCTTTTCCCTGCTTGTAGTAATAATTTAATGACAGATTACAGCCTGAAATGATGAAGAATGTTTTTCACTGTGTGAATATTTGCATTCAGTGACGAGATATTATTTTTATCATTGCACTGATAGCGTGTCTGTGTCTGTAGTCAACAAAGGAAAATGTTTGAATGTGGCATAGACATGACACACAATTACCAAACAAGGAAGACATTTAAACACGTCTAACATTTTTGAACACATCCATACTATGTAAATTCGGGTAAAAACGGGTAAATTGTATTGTTTTTGGTGTCAAATATAATAATTACCTGTATGTGTACGTGACTTGTGGGAGTGTTTTTTAGAGTAGCTCACAAGCAGCATGTATAAGACAAAAGATTTGTATATATACATTTCAATCCATCACCAACTAATGCAGCCAATTTGCCTTTGTGGATGGTGCATTAGTATTTGTTGCTTCTAGGAATATACAAAAGATCTAAAAATTTAGTTGAAAAACAGTAATTTTCCCATCAAAACAAATGTGTGTCTATGCTGAAACCTTCAAGTTCAGTTTGGTTTCCAAACTAATTTTTTTGCTGTAATACATCACAATTAAGCATTTCATCAATTCCCGAACTCAATTGTGCTTGTATATTATTATTATATATTAAACCTGACATGCATATTCAATGTCATTTGACGATTTTTTTGTGTGTGTGGATCTGTTTTTGTTTTAAAAATTTCTGTTCTAGCTGGAGCCATGAATGGACTGATTACATAATAATTTAGTTGAAGACATACATATCACAACGCCAGCTGAATCCAATATAGAGTTTCCATACACAGCAGTTTATGGCATTTTTATTTTAATACTCAATCATGGCAGTGACTCTGTTAATGACTTTTTTGGACAACTGATTATTTTCTCACTAACTGAAGTAGTTGTAGCACCATACTTTATGCTCACTATGAATATTTGTATATAATGTAATTGACAAAATGTAATTCATTACATTTTAACTTGTTTCCATAGCTACCAAGGTGGTGAATCAAAAGAAAATTCCCCTAACCAATCACCAACGTCAAACAAAAAATTCATGTAAGTACTTTCTATATTTAAAGCACTTTTTTTAATAATGTTGTGTTGAGATTTTCCTCAACCTTGTGGAAGTTACTTCTCGGATACCAGGTTACCAGGTATTTTAGGCACCAGATGATCCTTGTGGACTATATTTACCTTCAAGTATGATATGGTATGGTACCAGATTGACCCTAGGTCATGTTTTAGAATATATACAAAATGTATAATGATATGACAGTCTCAAGAAAATGCAAGAATTGGTATTACCGTAACAGCATTACTTGTTCTACTATAGTTCATCTGTTCTCTCATTGGTTTTTACCAACACTGTGCACACTACGTGCTATATGAAATTTAAAATATAAACCTAGTGCATGGCTGTAGCTATAGTACTTCATCATCACAAAAATAAACTTTAATTATTACCATGTAAAGCATGTGATGTTTGGATTTACTAGCTAGCCAGTACATGCACAACTGCCATGCGTTGTTTGAGCCCTCCCTATGCATAGTTCTATCTGCAGTGCTACTTGAAACTTTAAAATCCATAACAAATTATTGTACGTTTATATGTTCAAGATTGTGAAATCAGCCTTATTATTACTAAATACTATTATTACATATTAAACAATTGTAATTAAATTATTTTATTCTTGTACACTTCAGCATTGGTTCTCCCATCACGTCACGAAAGAAAGTCAACTTCACCACACAAGAGCATGTCAATATGTCACTAGAAGTACCAAAAAGATATCCTGTCAACTCTCCAGATTCCCCTGAAGTGGACACCAATAGCAAACCCCTGTCCTTTCCTGTGCCTTCCAAAAAGAGTTTAATAACGCCATGGGAAGAGCAAGACATTCCAACAGATTCCAGCTTAAATTGATCGCTTACATTAGTAATATACACTAGTGTATTATCATATTACTCATGGAATTCCCTGCTGTCCCGCCTAACACAGCAGCAATAAATTTACCTAACTTTGCAGGGATATTAGCCTAACTTAGTCATTTTTCCCTACATAATATAAGATTGATTTTTGACATATCAGTAATTCTGACGTGTGGTATTACAATGTTCATTATCACAAAGCTTCTGTTACTTGACTACCTTTTTTTTTGCAAGAAATTCATGGTATATATCTATCCTTTTGTGGTTCGATATAATTGCAAACATATGGTCCATTACGTTCTGACAATATTTACACCAAATACCAATTGTCACTCTTTCTTTACTTAAATTATGCATTTAATATTCACTTCAAATATTACTAATGATTGATATAAACAAGTGTTAATATTCCTCTGCTCAATTTTCACTACTGTGTGCTCATACTGTAGTTTTCCACCCTCTAGATTTTGTGGTTTTTGGATCACTATGGTACTGGGTAATTACCCTGTGGTTTTTGGCCCTCTGTGGTAGAACTGAATAATTATCCAGTGGTTTTTGTCCCTCTATGGTAGAACTAGATAATTACCCTGTGGATTTTGGCACTCTATGGTAGAACTGGATAATTACCCTGTGGTTTTTGGCACTCTATGGTAGAACTGGATAGCTTAGGCCTTCTATGGTAGAACCAGATGACTACTTCTGTGATTTTAGACACACTATGATAGAAATTAGTACCAGACTGAATGTGTCTCAGTTTACCCATGGTTTCACCATTTCTGTAATTACATAATAAAAGGTAGTAGTTTGGTGGTCATCAACGCCACACATGTGTGAGATTTCATTTTCTCACAACACACCATGGTCTACTAACAAGGTTGCTAGCATGTGTGCATGTTTTGATCTAGGTGAACAGGACACAGGGGACTGGGTCATGAGGGGCAGCAGATTGAAATTTAATAATATAGACATTGGTAGCATCTATATTCTTGTACATTCTGATTGACACTCTTTATGTTATTTCTGCAGAGGTGTATGAATTCTATTGTGAACAGTTTTTGGTCTTCAAAGCAGTATGTCAGAGCCAGAAAGTGCAACCAATTGAAATGTGTGACATATAGTTGTGATAAGACTACAACCAATCAAAATGTGTGACATATAGTAGTGATAAGACTACAACCAATTGAAATGTGTGACATATAGTAGTGATAAGATTACAACCAATCAAAATGTGTGACATATAGTTGTGATAAGATTACAACCAATTGAAATGTGTGACATATAGAAGTGATAAGATTACAACCAATTGAAATGTGTGACATATAGTTGTGATAAGATTACAACCAATCAAAATGTGTGACATATAGTAGTGATAAGATTACAACCAATTGAAATGTGTGACATATAGTAGTGATAAGATTACAACCAATCAAAATGTGTGACATATAGTAGTGATAAGATTACAACCAATTGAAATGTGTGACATATAGTAGTGATAAGATTACAACCAATCAAAATGTGTGACATATAGTAGTGATAAGATTACAACCAATCAAATTGTAGGAAACTCCCAGCATGTTCAATTCAGAAGATTATATATATATATTAGCACATTGGTTTGAGCATTAATATTTCAAGGCAATATTGCTAGTTTTGGTTTTGTGATATGATAATTTGGTCTTGTATTTACAAAATATTACTAATCAATTGTTCTATAACACAAACAATAGTAAATTAATCTATGCCTCACTGCATCAGTATTTTTGCTACACCTTTGTCAGATAATTACGTTTTGTAAGTATGTATAACTACCCAAACTATCGTAATTAACTAGAGCCAATCTTCCACAGTGTGATATAACACAATTGCTTGCACTAAACTGGTAATGTTTTAAGAAGTAAAAATATTTGAATACTTAAATGTGTTTAGTCTTTCATTTTCAATATGTATTATCTGATATATTGTAATCAACACCTTGCATGAAATATGTTTTAAAATATAATAACAAACTCACATTAGTTAGCTCAGATTGGTC